GTGCCAGACTGAGTCTGAGATAAAGTTTGAGGTGGCGCTCAATGCTGAGCTTTGCCAACGTCGCCTCAACGCATGCGACCTGTGCAGCGGACTGTAAGAGTTCCATGTGTGAGGGCAAGGCATGCATGCTGTGTGGAGAGCAGTGCCGTCAGATGAAGCCTGTATCCCTGCTTTGCACCAGCAGCCAGTGCCAGTCTGCAACTTTGAAATGGCCTGGTGATTGCCCATGGGGATGTGTATTGTACAACACCCAGCGGCACGCGCGTCCTCTGTGCTGCCTGTCGTGACAGCTTTCCTGAGCAGGTGCCAAACGAAGCCAATGCATGAGCAGCGTCAATTGTTATGCCTGCTGCCAGCGATAATTTGAGCTTGCTGCGCAGCTTGTAGAGTCAGGTGTGCACAAGGCCGACCTCGCCAGTCACAGCCTGACACAGATTCCCACAGACTGGTGGATTGGCTGTGACCACTGTCATTGGTGAGCTCACCGTACATGCGCAATAGTGATCGCACACGCAGATGCGAAGCATGCATAGGGTTAGGGTCAGGGTTATATATATTCGGGCGCATGTCATATAAGTAGGCATAGTGGACCTTCAGCGGTATCTGTGTCCTCAGCTAGACATAATAATTTCTTATTCCGTGTTCCGTTTCGGTTCTATTTCGTTTCTCATATCTTGGATTTGTGCCAGAAAGTATGTCGTACAGTGTCACCAGCAAGGCCCTGAGCCTGTTACAGCTCATCGACGACACTCTGGTCATGAGCTCCATTGTGCATGCACATGATTATGGCCACAATCATGCATCAGCCTGCAGCCATGGGCGTGTGTACGTGTCGTACCTCGACAGCATGCCTTTCTTACAGCCCTACAGCAGCTGCTCAGCAGCATACCAGATGATGCTGGTTGTGTACTTCGACTGGGTGAGATGGCGGGGGTTCAGCGCCGCGCACCTCCGTCTGGCGACGATGGCACCTACGTATTCTGGTGTCATCCTGAGCACCACCGCACCCGCGTTGAGGATGGAGTGCAGAAGTGCTTCAGCGAGGCAGCCAAGAAGTGCCAGAGCCGCGGGATTATGTCGGTGTCCGTTGGCCACTACAAGTACGGCTGTCAGGAACTGCAGACTGCTGTTGCCATAAATGACAGCTGTTGGAGAAGCACAAGTGACGAGCGCCCTGTGCTCCCCCCGCTCTTGGAAGGCAACTCCTGGATGGCGGAGCTGTGGAGCATAACCAGACGAGCGCGTTGCTGCTGCACTGCTGCCAGGTTACGCAATGCAGCACGTCATCGTCATCACTGGGCATGTGGCACATGATGTGCTGGTGCTCAACATGGCTGTGCCCGAGGCGTCACTTGTCGGCTCCTAGAATTCAAATGTCGTTGTGCCCAGCTGAGGGAGTGCTTTCAACGCTGACATGCTTGCCAATACCGATGGGCTGCGCTCCGACGAGGTCGTTGATGATCACCTAACGATGCTTGAGGCCTTTATGTGAAGCTTCTTGCAATTGCGCACGATGGCTGCGGCCATGCAGAGCACTGCTGCTGTACGCGCAGCACTGCCCGCACGAGCAGGCGCTGAACTCCCGTTGCCACAAGTGCGCTGCGGCGATTGTGGTGCGGCGGCACCATTGTGAGGACTGCTCCAGGGACCTGACGTACGATGTGAGCATCGCATGATGCGATCTGAGAGCATGAGTAAGCGTGTTGAACTGCAAGCAGGTCAACACGAACGCCTCAAGCAGCGCCAGTCGATCATCGACGACCTTGTTGGAGCGCGGCCCATCGGTGTCGGCCAGCGTGTCAGCGTCGAACGCCCGCCCTGAGCTTGGCACCACGACATGTGAACTCCACGAGCCGACAAGGGACGCCTCGGGCGCAGCCAGCTTGAGGACCAGCACATCGGGTGGAACCTGCCCGGTGATGATGACGACATGCTGCGTTGCGTAATCTGGCAGCGGTGCAGCAGCAACGCGCTCGTCTGCCGACATCGTGTTTCACAGATCCGCAATCCAGAAGTCGCCTTTGAAAATCGGGGGGAGCACAGGGCGCTCGTCGCTTGTGGTCCCACGGCTGCTGTCATCGCTGGCAAGGGCGGGCTGCTCTTCCCGATGGCCGCACTCGTACAGACCACTGGACGCCGCGATGATCCCGTGGCTCTGGCACTGCTTGGCTACTTCGCAGTACCATGCCCGCAGTCCATCCTCATTGCGGGTGCGGTGGTGCTCAGGATGACACCAGAACACGTACCTGCCATCGTCGCCAGACGGAGCACTGCACAGGTGCACGGTGCCGAACCCCCGCCGTCTCACCCAGTCGAAGTACGCGACCAGCTTCATCTGGTATGCTGCTGAACGGCTGCTGTAGGGCTGCAAAAACGGCACGCTGTCGAGGTACGACACATACACACGCCCGCGGTTGCAGGCTGGTGCATCGTGGCCGTACTCATGCGCATACACCATGAAGCTCATGACCCAAGCGCCGTCGATGAGCTGAAACAGGCTCAGGGCTTTGCTGGTATACAGCATTCTCTTCCGCGGGTTGTTTCCGGGTGCAGCGCAGAATGTGTGCTGGAAGGGTGCCGGTATGCTGACTGCACTGTGGCAGTTGCTGACCAGCCTCATGACAACCGGCGGAGCACCTGGGGGGAGCACGCTCTGCACGCGCTGCTCTACATCATGATAGTCGCTTACATCCGAGCGCGGTAGCTTCTCCGCTGAGAACACGTCAAGCAGTGCTCCTGCAGTGCCGCTAAGTGTGCTCTTGAGGCGGGCCACAGCCATCAGCACCATCTGCATCCGCCACAGACGCCGCAGGTAGTGACGTGCCAACATCACCCCCCCCCCCCCTGTGCAAGCGCATCACTGCCGACACCCAGTGAGCCCTCCTTGAGCTACTCCCCGACGCGTGCCTCGGGCGTCAATGCTGTCTCCCATACCGCCCAGTCACCGCCCGCATGCAGCGACCCCCGCCAGGGCGCTCTGCATTGCTCCAGAATGCACACTGTCAGTCAACAGCTACACTGTGGAAGCGCCGCCGCCGCCTCCCCTTGGTGCCACCAGTGTGGTCTCAGCTGCAACTTTAATTGCAGCAGGCTGAGCATCAAGCTCCTCTGTTGCTATAGACAGCCCCACCGCTGCCATACCCAACGACCCTTGCAGCGGGCGTGACTTACACTTAGCTATATGCAGTTGGGGCATGCAAAAGATGAAGAGGCAAGCCACGCATCTGTGCATGCAACCACCATTGCGCATGTGCGGTGAGCTCGCCGATCACAGTGGTCACAGCCGATCCACCAGTCTGTGGAAATCTGTGTCAGGCCGTGACTGGCGACGTCGGCCTTGTGCACACAGGTACCGGCCTCTACAAGCTGCGCAGCAAGCTCTATGCCATCGCTTGCAGCAGGCATCGGCTCCGTCCATGCATCAGCTTCATCTGGCACCTGCTCCGAAAAGCTGTTGTGACATGCAGCGCAGACGACGCGTATATCGCCGGGTGTTGTCCAATACACATCCCCATGGACAATCACCGGGCCATTCTGAGACTGGCACAGTTACTTGCTGCTGATGCAGAGCAGGTATGCAAGCTTCATATGACGGCACTGCTCTCCACACAGCATGCATGCCTTGCCCTCACATCTGGAACAGTCTGCTGCACAGGTCGCATGCGTTGAGGCAGCGTTGGCAAGCTCAGCATCGAGCGCCACCTCAAACTTGTGTAATGCAGCTTGAAGATCCATGCTGCTGCTGCTGCTGGTGCCGCCGCCGAGGCAGATGCTATGAACGTCAGACATGGCATGGCACCATCAAGGACGTTGTCGCTGGAATGAGGTTTGCCAGCAGCCCGGAGCTGGTCATTGAGGGTCACGGTGCTGGTGCTGGCAAACCTCATTCCAGCAGCAACATCCTTGATGGTGTCATGCCATGTCACACCGACTTACCGCCATGGCAAGTGCACTTGTAACCCATGTGCTGCTTGGCGGCTATGAATCATTTGTGTGTTCATGCTACTCCGGCGGCTGATACGCATTCGTAGCGGCCTTATGGCCCCCTCTAGAGGTCATGGACGCAAACATGCGGTGTTAGTGGCAGGTGCCGCTCAGAGGCTACCACGGCATATCTGCATTGCTTTCAGTGGTGTAAACCGCCCTGGCCTGAGCACCACCTCAGGCTGGCTCGGCACCACAAAGCCACAAAAAAGTGAGTGCCAGACAAGCGCAGCTGCTCAAACACAGGAGGCCCAGGTGCACTGAAGTCGACGTCATGCCGGCTGCTAGCTTGGTCCAGTTTGCGAAGTTGAACTGCTGCAGCCTTGCGCGCGCAGCAGCTGACGCAGCAGACCTGTTCGCGCAGCTTGTCGTACTGCATTCCTGGCTGACAGCCTTACTGCCCACGTCGCGCACTCTAACCAGTGGTGAGCGAGATCTTGATTTATCTGCGGGAGGGGACTCACCCGTCACTGGGCCCCTTCTTCAGGAAAGAGGGGAGGGATTGCCTTCCTCGCTCTTTCCGGGCCGTGCCTGTGTTCAGCAGCATGCGCTTGTCTGGATGCAGCTTGTCAAGCACCAATGTAGTTGAGTGCACCACCTATGCAAGTGTCGTGGCTTTTCTAGAAACGCATATCTGATTCGGGCCACCTTGCAGCCTCCATCTGCTGCGGGCATGTGATCCTGCGCTTCCCGTCACTGTGTGCTTGTCTGCTGCTCATCGTGCGTTCTTTGTATATTCTGGTGTACCTAGGTTCGCCCCCGCAAATAAAGTCTCCACCTTGTCGTGGTGCGGGGGCCTGGTGCTGGCCCTTGTCGGTTCACTACCACCAAGAGAGACCTTGGCTGGACACATCACGCAATGCTTGAAGTTGCATACACTGATGTGACGTAAAATTACATGTACCATTATGATACTTGATGAATTGATGCATGCGGAAGCTCTGTCTCTACGTATGTGTATGTGTGCCATTGCTTGCGTCAAAGCATGAATGTGCATTGATTGTCAGCACCCACCGCACACCGTGGTGCAATGGAAGCACACCAGGCAATAGCCTGGAGAAACAGGTTCAATTCCTGTCGGTGTGGACTTTTGCCATGAATAATGTATCGTCATGTGAGATTCAATGTTACCGATGGAGATTGACACCATAACATTTATTTATGACACTTTTCCTCAAGATTGCCGACATGCATGTATGACTTGTTTTTGCTGTCGTAAGCACATTGTGGCAGGCGCATGTGTGCAGACGCACGTGCATGGCACTAACCCCTGCACCAGCACACAGATACAGCAAGTTTTATAGCAGTATGCTGGAAGTACACAGCATGGCATTTCCACAGCCACAAGTGGAATATAATAGAGGTACATGAGAGTAGTTTCATTCTGTGTCAGACTCAGAGCCAGACTCATTTGCAAAGCCGTCATATTCACTGCTGCTCGCAGCTTGTTCTTCAAGCCTCACTGCACCGCCACTAGACACCATGCCCTTGAGTTTGTAGCCTGCACCGGCTGCAGTGGTGGTCGTGACGGCTTTTGCGGCTTTCGGGCGTTTGGCTTTGACCATGATGGCACCTGCAGCAGCCAGGCCCAGTTTGTAATCATAAGATTAGAGTAGTGCAAGGTGCTCACAGCGGCAGCACAGGCGGTACAAGCCCACCTGACAAGCAACAGCAATTTCGTAGCGGAGAAGCTCAGCAACAAATGCAGAGGAATGCTACTCAATCAGCCACACCTCAGTGTTCATTTGGATCACAACTACGTGCTTGCACTCGAGTCCTACAGCTGTGCAGCCCTAGCTTTGGTGCAGACGCCAGTCTGCTGCTGTTCAGAATGGTATGACCCAAATGGAATGGATGATGGCATGGGGGCACAGAACGACCAGAAATGGTGATGCGAAGGAAGGGCAAAGCCATATCCAGCATGAGCAGCTGAGCACATTGCGCATTGTAACAAAAACATTGAGACCGCGTCAGTGGCATGCAGTGCGCAAAGTAGAATATTGAGTGCACAAATAAAGTGCAAAATCACCTGCTTTAGGCGGTGGCTGCTTGCGCATGCGCTTGGACACTGCCACCATGTAGCTCTTGCTCACATTGCCGCTGGCCTATAGCAGCAGCAGCATTCAGCAGAGGTAGTGAGCTCACAGCTCTACCACGATGGTGCAGCAAGCTTTTGCGCAAAGCATATTCAGAGCTGTCGACGCACATTCAGTGGAGGCAGGATGGTCCCAACTGAGGGGAATTCCAGCCGCAATACTCTCGTGATTTTTGAAGTCCACTTCCTAAAAGAGGGTAGTGGTGACATTGGAGTTCCAGTAGAGTGGAGTGCTGAGTACTCACCAAGCACTTAAGGTCCTTAAGTTAATGATGGAGTTCTTGGAGCTTGACAACGGTCAACAACAGTCGTCAATTTGAACAGCGACATACGAGCAAGTAGAGTAACAGCAGAATTGATCTTTACGCACCCTGTGCCGTTTGCAGGATGCAGAGATGTTGAGGAAAGGTGAGCAGCAATGTGCAGGCGGTACAGCACAGCCTTATCAATCACACAAGCATGGCTATCATGCATGATAACCCCAGCAGGCCCTGCCTCCTAGGGTGCAGTAATTCAAAACCTGTCTGCAAGGCGAGGGGTGACACTAGGGCTCTATGTAACGACTCGGTTATCCCTCCATACCTGCGATTGCCGGGCATTGGCAGGGCTCTTGCCGGCTTTGCCAGTTTTGCCTTGTGCTTTAGGGGTTGGTACTGTCGCGCCCAACGTGTTCGGTGGCAGCGACACAACGCCTGGAACCGATAGCTTCCGTTTCTTCTTTCCCTGCGCACCGCCACTATCCTGCAGGCAGTGGTGTCACATGCATCACAGGCGACACCAAAGCAAGTAAATCAGTACGATAGTCTAGTACAGATATTACCAGGCAAGGCAGCAGATGGGAAGTGATAATATTTGCTGCGGCAACTTCAAGTGCCCGTTGTTGCTCTTTTTGTGGAAGCAGGGACAAGACCACAGGCTTTCACCGGGCAAACAGGCAGTCAAAGCGCATGAACCCACGATGTTAAAGTGCGGGAATCACCAGAGCGCAGTACAGCAGGTGACGCGCATAGGTCAAGGCGCGGGTGTAGGGAGGCATGACAGGTCTGCTTGCAGTACAACGGCGCCATCAACTGCACCAATTTGTTGACTGCTGAGACATGCTTGTGCGTTCTGCACGACAACGAGGCTGCTTGTGCAGCAAATGACAGTGCTGTAAGGATTTTGAAGTTGTTTTGACCTTGATGCCCATTGTTTGTCCACCGTCCGTCTTTGGCCGTCATGACAACAAGTGTCGGATCACTTTTTAAAGCGGCCATGCCACACTTTTGAGCGCTGAACGAATGTGGCATGGTATTGCTGAATATAAGGGGCCATTAATGTCTAATGATCACCATCTGAATGCTACTCTGGCTGCCAGAGGACTCATGCATGCTATGAAAGGCAGCAAAAACATAAGTGCTGCATTCCATCCATGCCTAAGATGCAGGTTGGTAGGCGTTGGCACCCAAGACTTGGGGTTTGGTAGCGACCTAAACCACTTTGCTTGCAGGCCCTGCTAAGCAGTCAGTATAAGTTGCTGCACAACACAAAAGCGAAGGCATACCTCACAACTGTTGTTGTGCATGTAAGTCACTGCACGTTCGAAAGGCATCTGAGGTACAGCACTCTGTCTACGTGCCGCGCTGCTGTAACATATTGAAGGTGCTTCCGGGAAGAGTTGATAGCTCGGTGTCGCGTCTGTACATGCCTGACCACGCTTTACGCATGCAACACTCTGAAACAAGGGCTTCAGACATGCGCGCACATGCATTGCCAAGACAACACATGTGCAGATAACATGCAACTACATGCTTATGAAGCACCTGGAACACATCGTCCATGTGCCCCGCTTGTGATGACAGGTAGCTCGCTATCGCGGCGGCGCGTGTCTGGCCGCGCTTGCCGCCCTTTGACGCCGCCTGCGCTGTCTTCGCTGCGGAGGCTGCCGGCTTGTCCTGTTTGAGCCATGATAGTGCCAGTGGCAACCCTGTCAGTGCTGGTCTGATGCCGCATGACGTCCTTCCATCATGACGTAATAGTGCAAGTGCCTACTTCAACTCTTGCTGCTGCATTATCGGCAATACCTCATGGCACAGCCTCTGCAGTACTTACAGAGTGAGTGTCATGTGCCAGTGTGTGTACAGCCATGGTGTTAGCGCCTCTCTGATTGCACATCCTGCGCTTGGCATCACAGTGGGATTTGATTCAAAACTTCAACTTGCAGATGTTCATGCGCCGCGTTTGACCACGTATTGCATGGTACTGAACAGCCATCACGCTCATATGCGTGCACCAGATGTACGGACGCTGCCGTGGTGCCGCACAAGATACTGCTCATTGTCATGAACCACAATTGTCCCTGAAAACAGTATCATCGCTACTTCTGCTTCAAGCCTTCGTCACCAGGGCATCAAGCCCCTGGCACCAGCAACTGGAAATGCTTCTAACCCAAAAAACTTGAGGTCTCTCTGGTGGTTTTATGAATCAGGTACAAGCAAGCAATTCGACTTGCATTTGCCTTTCATTATCACACCAGCGCATCCCAGCGCCGGTGCAGACGGGACAGCTTGTGATACAAACATTGACATGTGTTCATGTACTCGAGATACTTGAGACAACTTGCGTCACTAGCGCTGCAGTCAATGCAGTGCGGCACAACCACCATTTCTTCATGATGTTGCAGGTCACCAAGCACTTCAGTGCCCTACGTCACACAGACATGCAGAAGCGGCAACGTACCTGTGCCGATGGCGTTGCTGCGGCGCTTTTGCCCCTCTTGCGCTTGGTCCCCGCCTGATTGCCTTTGCTAGTGCCGCCCGCTCCATCGTTGTGCTCTTCAAGTTGCGCAAACCAGCGCTGCGAGCACTGGCCGGCGCTCTTGCCGGGCACGCCCTTTGCAACTTGAACCCAGAAGTTGGCGTGCCCCGGGTCGGTGCGCAGCTGCGCCTGTTGAAGTAGCGCTTCCTGCTGCTCCGTCCATTCATCGCCTGTGACACAAATATCGACAAACCAACTTACACATGCCCAAGGGTTAATCCATCTGGTCTAGAAAAGAAATGAGTCTAGTCTAGAAAGGAGGATGTTCAAAAATATAACCAGTATTCACCCGAAATTCACGTTTGGGGCTGGCACTTCGGCCGCTCTAAGTCGGGGGCACAATGATTGTTTTATGCGTCAGTGTCACAACGGTGGCTGTGTGTGGGGCTGAATTCAGATGGTTGCTTCAATGAACAGCTTATGTACTTGAGAATTTGCGTGACGAGACCTTCCTTTTCACGATCAGCATCACATGAGTTGGACGTCAAGTATGCCTATTTACCTGCAGTCCACTTGAAGCTACTGGCTCAACCGACAGCAAGCCTGCTGACTGCAGCAGCAAGAACAAGTCAACATTTCAGGCACGTTGCTGTTTGACTTCGATATGTCAATGTATATATATTCAGCGGGGTGTCAGCATCTGCACTGCAATAGGCTGGCAGTACTTCTTTTGAAATTATGCGCGGCCGCCACTTCAAAACACCTTCCGCTGCTCCTTTTCTGCGCTTGCTGGTGCTCTCCTGGGGCTCTTGCTTGACTGCTAGAGCAGCTGCGGAGCGTCGCCGTTTGCCGGTTGAAGTTGCAGAAGCAAGGCTGGGCCTCATTGGTGACGGTGAAAGCAGCTCCGCTGCACAGCGCGCAACAGCAATGGATGCACCAAGGCATCGTCAAACCGTATGCGGAGGTTGGCCAGAACAAGCAAGTTGAACTTGAATGTGTAAAGTGAGTTCAAACACCGCATCTGGGCTATCAGTTTGAATGTGGACCGACATGCGAAAATGCACTGGGCGTACAAGTCGCATTTACATACTGAATAGACCTCAAAGCTGCTGTTGCAGGTAACAGTAAGAAACTTGAAAATATAATTCAAGGGTACCCCAGCTTGCAATTGGCCACAACATGCCAGTATGCACTTCAGCATGTAAAAACTAACAAACATTGAGAAAAGTCACCACTCCTTTCGAGCAGGCTGCAC